CAAAGTTATAGGACCAAAGTTTAACAGTGTATAATTATAGTATATAGTTTATAGTTACAACGCATAACTACTACATAAGTTATGTGGGTAGAGTAACGACAGTGCATGACTATTATCTTACTTATGTGCACAGAATAGACGCATAACTAATATCTAAGTTATGTCAACAATGTTTCAACAACGATTAAATAATATTTTTAGATTGTATAAACAATTAACAATTTAATTTTATATAAACGATAAAGAATGTTATTAAGCATCTATTATCCTCCAAAAACAGTAAAAAGTTTTAAAATGGGGTCGTGAAATTCTCCCACGAAGCGTGCTTTAAAACTTTAGTTTGCGTCGGAATTTAACTGGGCAGCACTTTGCCGTATTTTTGGTCGGAAAGTAATCGGAACAGAGGTGGGAGGTTTTTGGAAATTTTCACTGGAAAAGTTGCTGGAAAAGTTTTCCGGTTGCCAAAATTTCATCGAAAAACGGCGGACGACAGTGTGGCGTCGGAAAAAGCGACAGCCAGTGGAGAGGGGGCTACCAAAGGTTCGACGGAGGTAGGGGAGGTCGTAAGGGATCTGTTGGGACAGGGGGTTGATCAGCGGCCGGAGGCGGTGGTTGGTGGCGGTTGGTGGCGGTCGGCGGCGGTGTTGGTGGTGATGTTCGGAGGTCGCCGGCCGGAAAATGTATAGAAAGAGGGGGAGTTTTCTAGCGAGAGAGGGATTATTTGAGGAGAGAGGTGTAGCCCCATGGTCCTATTTATAGGTGGCGGTGGTTGTAATGAGTGGTCGAGATCACTTCTTTAATCGACAGTGAGATCGTCGTCTGCTCGACACATTTAGAACCACAGAACGCTAGTTGTCGAGACCTGACTTCTCGCGAAAAAGTTCGAGTTACAATAAAATACTACTCGATTTTCACTTCCATAAAACATAAAAATATTCACCTAACGAGTCCCCCAACTATGCGAATAAAGCGCTTTGCAAATACGGTTACGGTGAGTTCCCGATTGTCGCGATTCAAGTGTTTTTTGCGAAAATGTTATATTTCATAAAACGGTAAAGTCAGCAATTGAATTAAATAAAATATCACTTCTTGATCCATGAAATTTTGGTATCTATTTCTAGCGAGTCTCGTAGATGACCTAACGAATCGTTTGAAGATTCGTTAACGGGAAAGCGGTCACTACATTGACCGACTCTTAAGGAATTTTCGGGCAAAACGAGTTAAGGACACACTTAGATGCAAAATTGCGTTACGATCATCAGAAAAAATATCTGAAGTTGAAAATTCAACTTCTAAGGCACCTATCGAAGCGTTTGAAGTTTCATGTTAGGCGGTTTATTTGTGTGTTTTATATGGTTTGTCTCAAAGTTCTTTTTATTCATGTGATCTAATAATATGTACTTTCTGAATATTGTATTATTTATACTAAATAATACTTAATTCATGTGTTTATTTAAACAATTATTTTTTATTCCATTTTTTGTATTACGACGAGTTACCTGCATACGAATTTTATTTTCGAAGTTCTTTATATTTATGGAATCGTATTGACACGTACTTTTGGATTATGCTATTATTTATACAAAATAATTCTAAATACACATATTTATTTAATAAAACGTTTTAATGCCCTTTTGTGTACAACGTCAAAAATTTGCTCGTGTATATTTTTTGCAATCGAATGATTCGACTCATTTTTCTTATGTATTTCCAGTGTATAATATTATATTTTCATAAATAATAGTCAAACATCATACATTATGTCTATTATATTAATGTTCGTCACGTTTGCGATTCACAGTCGTTGATGTATTTTGACTGTTGTCATAGGGTAAAAGTGACATCTTACAAAATTGAAGACGGATGGAGGTAAAAGTGACATTTTAAAAATTAAAGGAATGAAAAATATCATTTTATAGAAAACAAAGGGGGTAAAAGTGATATCTTATAAAGTTGAAGGTGGAGGGGGTTAAAGTGATATTTAAAAAGTATAGGGATAAAAATATCGCTTTACAAAATTAAGGGGTTGCAAGTAACGAATTATATAACGTTGAGGGATTAAAGTTACGCTTTACACGTTGACATACTTGTACATTGTGTATTAGTTGGCTGTACTATTAGCTAATATTGTCTCACAAAGGAAAGTTTACATTTTGTATATATTTATAATTATTAAAGAAAATCAGATTATATATATTTATGGAGGATAAAAACGAAAGTTTAGAAAATTGAAGTGGGAAGAGTGACATTTTATAAAGTTCAAAGTTTATGTTGAAAGTAACATTTTACAAAATAAGGAAAGTTGAATGGGTGAAAGTAACACTTACAAAATAGAAAGGTTACAGATGACAAATTATACAAAATTAAAAGATTAAACTTTAACTTCACATGTTTATATACTTCTAGATTGTGCATATGTGCATAAACATATGCAATATTAGTTACAATAAAACACTCACATTTTACATTTTGTATATATTTATACTTTTGAGGGATTTTGCCATTTTTGGGTGTTTTCTTCTTACTTTTTTCTTTTGTCACGTTTAGAGTCCATAATAGATTTTTTAATATTTTGAAAAAAAACAAAATGATAAGAGATCTATCGAGCAAGGTTTTTTAAAAAAAGTTTGTCAAATTTGTGTTCATGAACCAGATAATGCAAAAGGAATTACATTTCATGTATAAAGTGATTTTTTTGTGTTACTAAAGTTTGTTTAAAAAAATACTATTGTTGAACATTAATTGTGTAATTTTGATTTAGTAAGAAATGAAAGAGATAACGTACAGAATTAGATGGTATTTAGTACGAAATCTATTGAAACATAAATAGTAGGAAACTTAGGTGGTAATTAGTAGGAAATCTATTGAAACAACTTAAGAAAAGTATAAAATTATGTTTCCTACTTTTCATTCATATCACTAATAGACAAGAGAAATTAAATATCTTCATACCTTTTATTCCTACCAATCCTCCTACCCATTTAAATAATGACATGTGTCACATTACTATACTAAAATATCATTAAATTTCATTAAATGAGCATTAAGTGTTACACATGTCACTATTTAATTGGATAGGATAATTTGTAGGAACAAAAGTTAGGAGAATATTTAATTTCTTATAGACAAATGATATTTATTAATACGTTAGTTTGTCGTTTAAACAGATCACCAACACAAATAAAGCAAAATGTGAGGATTTAAAAACGCAAATAAAGCAAAATGTAAGGATTTTTTAAGATATATTATTTAACAGATTGTATTATTTATTGTATTATTTTATAATAATGTTATGGTATTTTCCAAGGTTCAAAATAACGTAAAGTATAACTTTGCAGCAATATCAAGCCTCAAAACTTTTTTGAGTTGTGGCGAGCCACGTTGTTTGTAATGTGTGACATAAGGCGACAATTATATATATATATATATATATATATATATATAAGTTAATGCGACATTTTGTCAAAGCTTGACGTTAGGCTAGTCCTAAATGTATGTTGCATTGGGCCCATTGATTAGGAAGGACTAGGCCCACTGATATGTATGTTATGTGGTATTTTGGGGAACATACTAAGCTTTGTGCTTACAGTTTTATAGTTATAGTTTCAGGTACTTTCAGCTTGAAAGAGAAGGGTCCGGTGTGACTGCACCGCATCCCCCAGAGTTTATTCCGCATTTGATTAGTAGTGATTTTTACTCTGATATTTAAATGTTATTTTTCACATTGAATGATTTCGGAAATAGAATGTTATATGCATTAATGTATTGAAAATGAAACTTTTCTTTGGAGTTTTGGGATATTACAATTTGGACAGAGTAACAACCGCGTTTTGAAATAAATCTATATTTCAACCAATGTGAAATCAACCAAATCACATAGTTCAAAAACATAAATATACTAACAAAACAGTTATTAACCGAAAACCATGATAACTCACATCTACTATATTTTATTTCAAATGTCATTAAATACTATTTATTTCATGAAATGGTGTCCTTTGTTCATTTATATATATATATATATATATATATTATATATATATATATATATATATATATATATATATATATATATATATATATTCACTAGGTGTGAGACCCGTGTATTACACGAGTTTATTAGAAATGCCAAAAGTAATTGTGTGAGCAAAAAAATACAATTAATGTAAGTTTTGGTAACCATAAGGACCATATTCATAAAAAAGTAAGTAACGACTGATCTATAACCTTTGGTAAACTACATGGACCATTCATGTAATTTGGTCTTAATTAATCTATACTAATAAAATTTATTAATATGAATTTACAAATAGAATGTACTATCTACGTTAAGATACATATATATTAATTAATATATTAATGGAAAGAGAAATTTACAAATAGAAAGTTATTATGTGCATTAATTAATCTATTAATAAAATTAATTAATATGAGGTGACATTTAATAGGTGAAATTTGAATAAAAAATGAAAAAACTATAAAAATGACAAGTAGATATTAGATAATTCAAAAAATCTAGAAAATGATAAGTGTCTAAATGAAGGAGAATAAGACATGTGGGAAAATCATTCTTATTTATTAGGGTATATATATATATATATATATATATATATATATATATATATATATATATATATATATATATATATATATATATATATATATCTATCTTAATAAAAGACTCCTAAACCGCCACATGGCAATTTTCTATACCTCTACTTTGCCACATGGCAGATTCTGCTTAAGCCGTCCCTTTAATTCCTGCTCATTTTTTTTCACCTTATTTAGTTTTAGCTTGCGGTGTAACCCCCTACAAATTAGCAAATTGATCCTATATTTGAATTTTGAAACAAACTAATTGAAACAGTTTCCTTCTAAAGAGCCGATAATATTTCTCTTGTACATAACATCCCAATTTTTGTGAAGAATAATAAATCTTCTCCCTCTGTATAATCGTTGCCTCCCTTTCTTTCTAAAAACCCTAGAAACCTATCGGCTACATGCTTCCTACACTGTTGATGATAATTCCGATCGGCCACCTGCTTCACTTTCTAACTAAATCCCGGTGGCGATCTCTCGAAATTCGTTTACAATCACCACTGATTTTATTAATGGCTTGGTTACAGGTTTGATCAAGAACATGAACAGGATTAGTGTTTGTATATTTATCAGTCAGATTCAGATTTCTATTAAGTTGAAGATTTGGTTTTATAGAAACAACATTGTTTTTAAGAGACAGAGCCAAACTCCTCATGAGGGTTCTCTTTAATTTATCTTTCTATCTCTACTTCTTTATCTCTCTCTATCAACTTTCTCATGTGATGTTCTCTTTAATTTCTTCGTTTCTCTACGATTACACTGCTTGACAGATTTATCTCATGAAAATTATCAATGTTTTCTCTTTAAAATTCCTTTGCTACTATGTTTTCAAGTTTACCTTCTGGGCAACAGCAAGTGTTGCAATATTGAAAGAAAGCATCCCTTCGTAATGGTCTAAAGGTTTGTAGAGTCTTATTTAGTTAAATTTCAGTTTTAAACAGGTAAAGAAATGGTCTCTCTTACAAAAGAGAATATGATCTTGCATTTATCCTTTAAAGTAAACGTAAGATGAAAAGATAATGAATATACTATATGTTGACATAGATTAGGTACTGGTTAGATAACAAATATACTTTGTACATGTAGTTGAGAGGGAATAAATGTTATAAGCTTACTCGTAAGCTTACCAACTTACGTAGATATATGTATATATATATATATTATATTTCATACGTTGTTTTTCTAATAATTTGGTTTGTTTTGTAGTTTTTTTCCCTTTTTTGTATAGATTGAAGTTAGCATATTCTGATAGGGGAGACAGTGTGGGCATGGAAAGCTTTTTCAAGTGAGGGTATTATTGGAATTTTGTTTTTTTTATGGTAACTGCATCTGGTGATATTTTATCTTTGCATGCATCATTCAAAGGGGTTACTAATTGTTGAGGTTAATTGTTGGGTGCATTAAAAGTACATTGCTATGTAGGATAATACATGAAGTGTGTTGCGACTGCTGAATTTGGTGATGTTTTATCTTTGCCGTTAAAAAAATAGGTCACCATATGCGTCCTCACTTTTGAGGTTCAATGAAGTGCTAGATCAAAGCCAAGAAAAAATAATCTCCAAACAAGAATTAAGGGTACTTTATTATTATTATTTCGACATTTGTTATTGAAATTTCACGGTTATTTTATGAATAATGAGATATAAATATTTTATAGCATCCTACTTTCCTACATTATACTTTATGGCATCCTATTTTATGAATAACGAGATGCAAGTATTTTACCCCCGAAATAAACCGGAAAAGTCGAAAACCCAAAAAAGGAATTATGTATTTAATTTTAATTACCATTGTACCCCCATCATAACCATGAAAATTTGAAAATCCAATTTTTAATGAAATTGTCATTTTACATTTGCACTAACCTGCAAAGGAGAAACCCAAAAATTATAAATATTAATTTAATTTATCCTTTTATTTACTATACAAGTTCATTGATATATGAATAACGAAATGTTAGTGATATCTTTTAGATACAAACTTATGAACTTATTTTCACTTTGTGAATGAATTATAACTTTTACCTATATATCAAAGGCTATATTAGTCAACCTGATTTGGAATGAGAAAATCTTAATGATGTATAGTTTTCTCTACAGTCTATTGTGAGGTTTTAAGAATATGTAGCCGAGTAAAATCATCTATTTGTTTAGTCATCCAACTTTCCTTTATTTGTTTATTATGACATCTTAATTTTTTTTCTTTTAAAGCATTTAACGTTTTTTTCAACAACAATAATTTTGAGAAATTACAGCCAACACAAAATGTGTCACAACCATTTATTTTTTAACAACAATTTTGCTAATGTAAAATAGCGTTTATAACAGTTTTATTGTATTCTTTGTTGCCCAACTATTCATCCATGTCAAATTACTAATTTACAGATTAAATGAAAGCATGACATGGCAGTGTATTTTAATTCAAACATCTGGTTGTAAATCTTACTTTGAGAAACTACTTTGCCTCTTTTTGCATCAGGTCATAAAATATAGACAAAGGAAAGTACCAACTTTTACACTAACATATTACTTCCGAACATGTTTTCCATTGCATTCTGACTTCAAATTGTTATACCGCCAGGGGCTATGCCCCTTGGGGTGTTGAAAGATATCCAAATCTAAAAAACTCGATCCGAAAATCCGATATAAAATTATCCGAATGAGAAACATTGTTTATTATTAATTGGATTTGTATTGTTCGGAAAAAAATTTTGTTCTAAGTATTTTTTTTGTTAAATTTGGCTTAACTTAGGTTGGTTAATCATTTTACATATTTTCTATTGATTATCTATTTGTTTGATTTTCATGCTAATATGATTTTATAGTGTTGTACTTTATAACCTTTTTGGAAAAATCATAAAATACATCAATTTTAGCATAGTAGTTTATAATCATTTTGGACAGTATAGGAAATATACTATTAGTTATAACATTCTAATTTGAAAAACAAACGGTCACACTTGGTACAATACCGATATCATTGTATTGTGAGGTAAAGTGGCCAATATTTAACTTTAAAGACCACTAAACTCATAAGCATATTTTTAAGTATTTTGTTTATTTTAGTAAACATATTTATTCAGGATTACTTACAATTGACAATAAGTTACATTTTTTTATGTTTTTTGTCTATATAATAATTTTATACATACCAACCGTGGTTTCCACGGGTTATAACCTAGTTTATGTATAATCACAACTCTTTTGCATAAAAACCACGTTTTGGTTATTTTGAGCAAATGTTTTATATAAATACACTAAACATATATTTTTAACACAAATCATGTATTTAGATGCTAGATTTTATTTCATTTATCCAAAAGTATTTATTTTTCTATTTTTCATAATAAACAACAACTAATCATTCTAGGTTGTCATTATTTGAAACATATCAGTTTTCATAAAGATGACATAAAAGTGACATGTGAGCTTTTAGAAGTTAGTTATTTTTCTAATAATTTAGTTATGACATATAATATACATAACATATCATTTATATGATTCTTAATATGTTTCATTTCATTATAACATAACTCTAAGCATATATGCCCCCAAATGATCAAACTGACAATTCAAGAATCTTGTTATGCAACCAAAATATGAAATAGCACATAATAACATCATATTTTCATATTTAACAAGATAAGTATGTATCTTCCCAAAAAATCATTAAAAACATAAAATGAGCCATAAAACTCACCCTCGATGCGTGATTTCAATTTAAATTTGAATTTGGTTCGCTTTTGTGAGGCATGACGTGAGAAACCACAATTTACACCTTCTTGAGATTAAGACAAACCACCTGGATAGTTTAGTAATAATTTAAACTACAGGGATTGGTTTGTAATAATTTAAACAAGTGGAGGGATTGATTTTTTTGTTTATATCAAATAGGTAGAAAGGGGGGGTTGGGGCTTTTTGTGCTTGTCTGATCGAGAAGGAAAAACGAAAGCAGAAAATGGGAAGCACCTCCGGTGCTTGACAGATTCGAAGAAGGTGAAGAACGGAAGTAGCAAGGTTGCGTCTGTAGGTGCAAAGAAGGGCTTCTCGACTACTTCTCTTCTACTCCGACAGTTAGATGCGAAAGGGAGGGGGAGAGCTAGTCCGATGGAAGAAAACAAGCAACAACAACATGTAATCCAAGGGTGTTTGGCTGCTATGGAGTCGACGAAAGAAGGAGAAAACGGGAGGGACCTAATGTCCTCTTAACTGCCGGAAGAAGCTCCACCTCCGGTGGAGTTTTCTCAATTGAAATTGGAGAAGAAGGAGGGAGGGAAGAAGCATATCAGAATAGTGATTCAAGGGGTGTTTTGCTGCTTCCATCGACAAGGGGAGGGGTAGAAGAGGAGAGGTTGGTGCCTCTTTTGTTCATTAAAAAAACAACCACTTTCAGTGGTGTTTTTAGCAGTCGATTGAAGGAGAAGAAACAGATAAGGAAGGTGAGTGCGTGATTGATTTATGAGGATGATGAAGGTGAACGAAAAACTCAATTATGGTTGGTATTTTATGCTTCATAATTGGTGTACTTTGAGTGAAAAACACAAGCAAGGTCAAGACTTTCTTCCAATGAGTGTACTTATGAGTATTATTGAGAGAGGGGTGGTATACATGTGAGAAGGAAAAGGAATTGGGGATGGAGTCATAGTTGGACATTAGAGTAAAATATGCATGACTTGAGGTACAAATGACTGATGTCACACTTCTGACATCGAAAATGTTTTAAAATAGCTTTCTCGATTTGCGTGTCCAATTTGCGACATCTAATAATTTTTCCGAGGGCGGCGAATGATAGTCTTAGATTCAAGGATTCCAAAAATCTAGACGGATCCTAAATCCGATATGTAGAACTCCGAGAAACGTCGTTTAAAGTTTCACGATTAACTGGTTTTGAATCGCAATTTTTGCGACTTTATTAAATTCACAGGTTAAAAATATTACGATTATGACATCAAATATTATCCATATGTATAATTTCAAGAACGTTTTTGAAATTTCCATATCAGGTGTGCAAATACCTCAAATGATCAATTTGGTTTTTGTTTATTAAGAAAATCAATATTGTATTGATTTGGTTTCTTAAAATGGACGTAACTTCTACATATGACCCTTGTTTTTGACGTTCTTTATATCCATGAAGTCTTGAGAGTATAATCTATCCAATTTGATCATAAATTGGTCCTAGGTATACTCAATGCAAAAAATTATTTTAATGTCACAATTATTATCAGTTTTTGTGATTTTTGACTCAATTCTTAACGATAAACAGTTTGTTGAGCAGTTTGAGACGTTTTGAAAGTAATTATGAGTATAATATCTTTAATATACATTATAAATATAAAATTACATACAACTGATCTTTAATACATAGAGTTTCGCAGTGGTTCGACCGACGAACTTTAACCTAATTTTACCAATTGTTACAATCTACATCTAGTGAAAGAAAATGTTTTTACACCATAATCGGTAAAACTAAAGCAGAAAAACACCACCAAAAGATTGTGAGACACGATCATCAACCAAGCCCGAAGTGAAATCCCAATGCAAATAGCGCTTGAATCCTCAAATCCATGCTCCAATCAACTATCTAGCTTCGAAATCGACCCTCTAGGGCTTATGGACGTCAAAAGTCAAATAAAAGTCGCAGCCTAAGGCTGCCAATGGCTGCACCACAATTACAGTTGAGAATCCCGTATATTTATATATTACAACATCACGACGTGGTATAGTCTTCACCACGGTGCGGTGGTCATGTTTCCTTATTGCACACGAATACGTAGACCGAAACGAACATTTTCGGGATTTGAACAGGGGTGCGACGCGTCTCACAAAGGAGAGCAACACGCTTTTGGTTGTTGCTCCCGGTTCACGTCATTTTTCATCCGTTTCAGCTCTGTTCGCTTCCATTTGCATCCTAATACCGATTTTAACTGTAAATAATCATTTCAAAGCATAGTAAGTATCATATATCTTAAAATATAACATTTTAGATTAATTTATTAAGATAATAGCCTAAAATATATAGTTAACTAATATCAAGTGACTAACTGATATGGTATACGGATGGATTCAAACAAATATAAAGTGACTAACTAAATAACCTTCTCATCATAATGGGGTAACATGATTTTTAAGTTCCACCACCTATCAATCACAACAAATTTTCATTCACAGTTAAATATTGTAAAATAAAGTTATATATATATATATATATATATATATATATATATATATATATATATATATATATATATATTACTTGTAGTATTGTGTTGTTGACAAAACGATTGTTAAATTGTTGCTCCAAAAGTCAATCAATGGAAATCACCCTATCGTGTATGATGGATAAAGGGTTCATATCCATAATACATTCTTTCACCCACAATAAAACCATATCCATGATTTCCTACTATCTTTTTTTCCAACTCCAAATGCAAGTGACAAGATTTGGTTATTGTCATTCATGGTTACCGCCGGGAACATCCCATGTATTTTCACTTTAAGGTGGGGATCGTCAATGACAATACAAAGATGTACGCAGAGTTGAAATGCTCTAATATATATATAAAAAATTAGAATATATAAAAAAAATTAGATTAGTAATAGATCCCAAAAGTTTATAACAAGTACAAGTAAAGTTTGAATAATATTCTTTCCGTGCAACACGTAGCAACGAAAAAGTATTCAAATCGATTGTTGTCATCTGTCTTTATGTGTGGAATCATCTCTGGATTCTTTTTTATAAATTGTAACAATATACATGTATTCTTAGAAATCCTTCTTTAGGAGATACTCTCAATAGATCAAGAGCATACAATTTCGCTCTCCTTGTTTGTCAGTACGAAATATGAACAATAAAACAATCATTTATATATCTTTAAGCTTGCTTTCCATGCAACATATTTCATGTACTAACATCTAATATATCATTTAAGAAGTGACCTAACACTTTCTTTTTGGCTTGGCGATGTTGGGGACGCAACCGTGTGTTTGAGTAAGTGTTGTTTTCTGCTAATATTCGGACTTGAAAACTGAAAAGTTTATGTAATCTTATATTTTAGAGTCTTGGACGTCATTTACAATCTTTATCGAAGCAAACTGCTTCAAATATCTCTTGTAGATTTGTTGATTGTAATTTGAAATCCTCTTCAACACATTTCGTTCCTAATGCCCGCTTAAGATCTTTAATTTTGTACAATTGTAACAACTTGATATGTGAAGACGGGTTGTGGTGTAGTGAAACTTTACGTTTTTTTGGGTTGAAAATTTGGGCAACGATAATGGATCCGACATTCTCCAATGAGTAGTTTAATTTATTTGGAATAAGAAAAATAATATGGGTAATTATCCTTACGATGTTGTTAAGACACAATTTCCTCGTCATAAGATTTGAGTGTCATCATCATCATAATAAAAAAACACTAAAAATTTTCCATCGATCAAACACTTTAGCATCAAGAGCAACATTCTTACCTTTATACCTAACATCACCCTCACGTACAAGCCTGTCATAAGAAACTTGTTTGCATTCCTCAGGTTCATATAAGTTAGTGTCATAGATAATAAATTACATGTTTGGTTTGTTTCGGTACCACGCCATCCATTGCCACCAGAACAATTTTGTCCTACGAATCAATTATCACCACTTTCGACACAATAGTTAACAACAAACAACTGTACCGTGCCAGGAGGCATACCAATCACAATACTTAAAAAATATATATCTCCATCGTCAATAATTTGCATAACTATATTTGATCCGGAACATTAAAAAGACACACGGATCTAATTCATATGTAACATGGACTTCGAAGCTACCAATTTAACCAACATAGAAAAATCTATATAGTTAGTTAAATCCACAACATAACATATGTAATATGGAGCAATACAATGCATATCGTCTCCCACTACAAATGTGCACTCTAATAAACTAATTACATATACTCATTTCACTAATAGAAATATAGATGACAAACTATTTTAAACAATTTCTAAAACAATATCTACATAAATACCAAGAAATGGTGTACAAATGTTGATATTAGTAACTTCATAATTGTACATTATGGACCGCAGTCGAGCATATACGATGTCCGAAATGTATGAAATTAAATTCCAAAATAATAACATTAATTTGTTAATTAAACAATTTCTTAAGTTTTTGTTTATTTTCTGTAACTGCCCAGCTTCTAGCTGGTTCTTTTTAATAAATATATTTATTGAGCCGTTAAAAAAAAAATTAAACAGTCGACATTCGAGTATTCGACAATGGTTTGTAGATTTTCGTAAAATATATATGGGTCCATTTGAAAATACGTGTAAGTAAATGGTTGTAGTTAAATGGTGGGGACCACTCTCAAAGGGTTTATAATGCCGGCCCGATTCTCTGTCCGCTTTAACCGCCGAACAAAATCCATATTTATTTCTAACAAATTTTATCGTCGTTGATTGGCTCCGCCGTCCTTATCTCAAAAACAACGGCATCCTCCCTGGTTTTCGCCGGCGACAGGACTCCCGTTCGTGCTAAAACAACCCTAGTTTCACTCTTTCATTTCCTATTCGGCTTTGTTTCTACAAAGAAGAAGTAGTGGAAGTGGAACCCTTTTAGGGTTTTCGTTCTTTTCAATTCGATTAGTTAGTTTCAGGTTTTGAAATTGAAGAATATGCAGGAGGATCTTAAGGCGTTTCGATCGGAAACAGATTCAAGCGAGTTTACCGATACGGTATTCAACTGCGTAGTACCGTACATACACGACTGCCGTGACCGGAGCTCCGTCTCTTTAGTTTGCCGGAAATGGTGCGAGCTCGACGGTGTTACACGGAAGCATGTAACCATCGCTATGTGTTACGCCACGACGCCTCTCCGTCTACGTCAACGGTTTCCCCTTCTCGAGTCGTTAACCATAAAAGGAAAGCCACGAGCAGCTATGTTCGATCTGATCCCTGAGGATTGGGGTGGTTATGTCACGCCGTGGGTTAGAGAAATCTCGAGTTCATTAAATTGCTTGAAATCTATCCATTTCCGGCGAATGATTGTTCGTGATTCCGATATCGATTTATTAACCCGAACCCGTGGTCAAGAACTTAGGGTTTTGAAGCTTGATTTGTGCTCAGGGTTTTCAACAGACGGACTACTCCAAATCGGTAAGCGGTGTAACAATTTGAGAATTCTGTATCTACAAGAGAGCTTAATCGTCGAAAAGGACGGCGAATGGTTACATGAGCTAGCTTTGCGTAACACAGCCATGGAATCGTTAAACTTCTACATGACAGATCTGGTTAAGTTCGATTTCAAAGATCTAGAACTCATCGCAAAAAACTGCAGCGAATCGTTAGTATCAGTGAAAATCAGCGAATGCGACCTCACAGACCTTTCCGATTTCTTCAACTACGCAGTGAAATTACAAGAATTTGGTGGTGGCGCTTTCAGCGATCAACCTGAAATCTACGCCGGACTGAAATTCCCTCCTCTTCTAACTTCCATGGCATTGAATTACATGAGCCAACCCGAAATCTCGGTAATCATCCCTTTCACTTCCCGCTTAACAAAACTCGATCTTCTTTACGCTCTATTGGACACAGACGACCACTGTTTTCTTCTCCAAAGGTGTCCAAACCTAGAAATTCTCGACACCCGCGATGTAATCTGCGACAGAGGTCTACAAATCATCAGTCAATTCTGCAAGAAGCTTCGCAGGATCAAAATCGAAAGAGGCGATGACGAAGAAGGTTTAGTTTCACAAACCGGTTTGATTTCTCTAGCACAAGGATGCCTGGAATTAGAATGCTTACACGTAAATGTCACAGACATATCAAACGAAGCATTCGAATGTATAGGAACTCACCTGAAAAACCTCTACGATTTCCGCATAATCCTACTCGATAAACAAGATCAAATTACCGAATTACCCTTGGACAACGGGGTTCGAGCATTACTCAACGGATGCATGAAACTACAAAGATTAGGAATTTATCTTCGACCTGGTGGTTTAACCGATGTCGGGTTGGGGTATATTGGTAAATACGCACGAAATGTTAGATACATGCTTCTAGGGTTTTCAGGGGATTCTGATTTGGGGCTTTTGGAGTTATCAAAAGGGTGTCCGAAGTTGCAGAAGCTTGAAATGAGAGGATGTGCTTTTAGTGAAGAAGCACTTTCTTCATTTGTGATGAATTTAGCTTCTTTGAGGTATTTATGGGTTCAAGGGTATAGAGCGAGTGAAAATGGTTGTGGGATTTTGGGAATGGCAAGGGCATTTTGGAATATGGAGTTGATTAGTTCTGAAAGACATGATGACGTGGCACATGGAAATATGGAGCAAAGACAACCACCTTCTTTGCTTGCTTATTATTCACTTGCTGGACAGAGGATTGATTTTCCAGGGTCTGTTCTTCCTCTTTACCCACCTTTGAATCATCATCTTCAGTAATAATCAGGTTTTTATAAAAGTAACTAAAAATTTCTATTTTTTTATTTGTTTTAGACAATAAAGTTATCTCATGAGTTATGATATTGTTATCTCATGAAATATTGTGATTTGGTGTTATACTATTCATTAATGTTAAATTTATGGTTAAAGTTTTATTGAGTTTATATATTTCTGGGTTGATTGAAGTGTGTGGTTATATTTTGAATGTAATATAAATGAATGATTTATTTGGTTATATTTATTGTTTAATAATATAATCTTTAAAGTTGTAACAAAAAGATACTACAGGTTCTTAAAAAGATGGTATTTTTGAAAAATTAGTATTAGAATTTATTCATATTCGCTAACTTTTGATGCAATTTTGGTCACATTATTATATATGCTCTTGTTGGTTTGTATATAGAGAGTTGTGATTTCAATTTTTGGTTCTCACAAACATTACGAAATGTATTCTAATATGATGCCACTAATTTTTAAGATGGATAAAGAGGCACAAGATTTTTTTTTTTTTTTTGTTAAATGCAAAATAGCAATGTCCTTTTATTTATTTGATTGTTATAGCATTCTACTTTAATTTTATTCTATTACAATAGTAGGAATGAAAACCGTTACAACCAGAATACGTAGGTCCGGGTTTAAAGAATGGATTTATTCGGGTTTTGGATCATCCGGGTTTGGGTCCGTCAGGGTCGGGTAAACCGGGTTTAAGAACCGGAACCACTTTTAGGGGCTGGAATCGGTTTCTGTGAAAAGTTTAAAACATACATATCTGATTCGTTTGAAGTCGGATTGATATGTGGTTTTTTCCAGCGTGTAGTTTAAAGTTTATACATGAATTTAGACTATAAATTTGTCAATTTTAGTTTTATATTCGTTGACTTGCAGTCATTCAAAGTTGAGATATCAAAGCTGGAAGTTTTCAGTTGTTCAATGTTTTTTTATTCCGTGAAAATATTAAAACAGACATTTAATTCGTTTGAAGTCGGATTGACATGCGGTTTTTTACAACTTGTAGATTAGAGTTTGTACATGAGTTTTGACTAAAATTTGTACTTTTTGGTTTAATATTCAATGAAGGGTCCAGTTAGTGGTTTGGTCTAGGCTTTCATTGTAATAGTTCCTTTTGAGTCTTTATTATGGTTTAGTGAGTTGTTTAGCAGTTTACGGCCCTGTGGTGAGTTTACAGCCGTAAGCCTGTTTACGGCCGTAAACCTAGTTTCCGGCCCAAGTCCACTATATATAGAGGTTGTCTAGGTCTTTGTTAGTTGTTGATGTCACAGAGTTCACGGTCAAGTAATATAGAGTTGTACCAGACGTTTTTCAGCAATAAACTTGTGCAAGCTTGATTTCTCTTCTTCTTCTACTCATATTCTGATTACTTTTGATTGTTTGATTGTTTGATCATTGGTAAAGATCCGTTTTAGGACCTTACAATTGGTATCAAAGCGAACCGGTGTCAAAGCATCATTCAATCGAGTTTTTGGCCGTTTAAACGTATACTCTTCACTGTTCGAGATTGGGATTGGTGTTTTCGTTGCTAAAGGGATCGAATCTACTCCAAAATCGTGTTTTCGAAGAACTTCTGGGAGTTTACTGCCAAGAGACTACGGCCGTAAACCCAGTTTACAGCCGTAAACTCAAGAACATTCATAGACCGTAAACTGTGTTCTTGGACCGTAAACAAAGCATCTTCAATAACCGTAAACATCCGACCGTAAACTCAGTTTACGGCCGTAAACATTCAGACCGTAAACACTCAGACCGTAAACATCCGACCGTAAACACCTTGACCGGAAACTCATTTTTGACATTATTTTTGTTTTAATTTTTGATTTAAAATTTAATCATCAATGGATTCTCAAAGTCAAACACATCTTCATGAACTGGATACTGTCATGGGCACAACCACACGTATTCCAAGACTGCTGTCTGCAGATGGTTTTCCTGAATGGAAATACCGGATTGAGAAGTACATTAAAATGAAAGACTTCAAAGTTTGGAGAAGCATCATCAAGGGTCCTGTCCGAATTACTATGACGGTTGCAGGACAAGTGATTGACAAAGCAGTTGAGAACTATACAGATGACGATTTTGAGAAAGTTGAAGAACAGGAAAGGGCTTTGGCCACTCTGACCATGGCTTTATCTCCTGATATAGCTCAAGGTTTCAGAGAGTATACTTCAGCTAAGGATTTGTGGGAAGCATTGATTGAGGTGTATGAAGGAAATGAAGACATGAAGGAAAGCCGCCAGGATATGTTGCGACAGAAATTCAACATGTTTAACTACATTCCCGGAGAAACCCTGGAGGCACAGCTGCATCGATTCACATCTCTCACTACTGAAATGAACATATCTGGGATCTTCTTGACCAAGTCCGAGATAAATGAAAAGCTACTGAATGCTCTTCCAAAGTCATGGGACATGAATGTTGCTGTGATTAAGAAGACCAAGGATCTAAATCGCCTTACTCTTGCTGAAACAATGGCGATCATCAAAGCTTGTGATATTGATGATAAACAGCGAGAGATTAACCATGTGAAGTCGTATTCGACTGCAAATCTCGGAATTTCCTCTAACAATGCTCTTTCATCAATCATCTCTTCCTCAGGTCAAGGATTTGTAGTTCAACAACCTCAGATTCAAACCTTTACTACTGCGTCATCCATGCCTCATTCTCAAAGCCAGCCATTCGTCACTCCACAAGCTGTTCCCTCCTCCAATGTGCCAGTTGTAGCCTCTTCCTCAAACACAAAGGAAAGTGATGAAAATCTTGCTCTCGCTACAGGACTTGTTAACTGCTATAATGCTTTTGTAGCTGGAGAGCTTCCACCTCAGTTGTCATTTGCTGATCTGGATCAGATTCATCCAGAAGATGTGGAAGAGATGGATATTACGTGGCAAATTGCTATGGCAGTGTTCAGGGCGAAGCAGTTTGCTAAAAAGACAGTGAAAAATAACTGGGGGATGAATGCTGATAAAAAGGTAGGGTTCAATAAGGGAAAGTTGCGATGTTTCAACTGTCACGAGCCAGGTCATTTTGCTCGTGAGTGCCCGAAACCGGATCGAAGGTTGAACAATGACAGGACGATGGTTGCGGTGGGAAACAATCGTGGAGGTGATGTGGCCAGCGGTGAGACTGCTATGGTTGCTTAGTCATTTGACTGGGAGGACCAAATTCAGGCTCTGAACATTTCAACACCTGAAAATGCTCACCTAGCCCAAATCAATGATGATGCTCCCTTGAAGAATGATGCAGCTGATCCTGAAGAGCAGATGATGGAGCTGCAGTTTGCACTGATGGTATCTTCTACTTCCGAGCCCAAGAAAAGCGAGGTAAGTTTACCTACTTGTTCTCAGGCATGTATTGATTATGTTAAAATTCTTCATGACGAAATAGCATCATTACCTAGAGAAGTAGAGAATCTTAGATATGAGGGCTATCAACTTAGAAAAGGACAAAAACCCCTAAAGGCCCAGTTAGAAACAAAAATAAAGGACTTTAAGAGAATTCAGGAAGACTACAGTGAAAAATGTGAAAATTATGATTATATCAAGAGACAGAATGATGAGTTAATTACTGAGCTTGATACATTAAAGAGACAATTTGAAACTGCAAATTTTGATTTTAAAAGGTTTGATGTATCAAGCGAGGTAGTTGCCAACATGATTGACTATTGCCTGCAGTTCAAACGAAACCAGCAAAAGGGTTTAGGATACGATAATGTACCTCCTCCTTTTAATCATACATATCAGTCTCAACCCTTGTCTAAAGAAGAGATTGCCAACGAACCATTCATGGTTTATGGCAAACCATCTGGTTTTGTTTCAGGAGGATTTATTAATTTTGAAAATACTAACGTTTCTACTTCCCCTGCAGATCAGTCAAAGCACGAAGTTGAAGGATCTGTTTCTGATAATAAAACTGAGTCTGAACCTGATGTTTTTGTTTCCCATGAAAAATCTTGTGTTTCTGATGTTAAAAATGACAATGTTTTTTGTGATACTTCCGCATCTGCTTCTGCTGAATTAAATTTCTTTGACATATTTGATGAATTATTTGATGATCCCGATGTTTGTGATGCTTCTAATGAAAACACATCAATTCCACAAGTCACACCATCTGATGCACCCTCACTTATCTCACAACCTGTTTCTCATACATGTTCTTGTGAGAAGAGTAAGAGTGTCAGTAAAGAAAATAAATCTGAGAAATGCAGTACCAGTTCCAATAGTAATAAACATATTTGTTTTAATTGTGGTATTGGTGGTCATATAGCTAGGAATTGTCAAAATAGGATTTTTGTGAACTATATGTCGCCAAGAGGGGAGAACGAATCTAGAGGAAGGTCTTTAACTAGAAAATCCTCAAGAACTCGTTCTCGGGATGATGATTGGAAGGATGATCGAAGTAGAAAAAGGGCGTTCTTTCAAAAGAATAAAAAGGTTTTTCATAACAAAGTCCCAAACAGTTTGCCAAAACCGAACAAGGCTCCGCCAAGATCGGTTTCGTCAAAGAGCAGTTCTGGATCTTCAACCACTTCTAGTAGAACATCCAGATGCTCAGTGCAAACTGATAAGAAACATATTTCAAAACCACCTGTTACTGTTAGAAAACCTAAATATCATTGGATGCCCAAATCAACTTCCAATCAATCATCAACATCCTCTGAAAAGATTAGAAATGAGGATTCAAAATTGAAAACTTTGAAAGATCAATCAGACAAAGTGAAAAGGCAACCCAGGACAGTGATGACCTGGGTTCCCAAATCTAAATGATCCCACTCATTTTACAGGGACAGTTGCGGAGGAATGTCGTCAGACAATGGTACGCCGACAGTGGCTGCTCCCGGCATATGACAGGAGACATCTCCCAATTGAGCAACATTCAATCTTTTAATGGGGGATATGTTTCCTTTGCGGGCGGAGAAGGTGGCAAGATCACTCAAAGAGGAACCGTAACAAATGGAGTGCTAAGTTTTGAGAATGTCAACTTTGCTC